CCATTCAAATGTGTTAGAGCAGCCCTGCCTGACAGAACCAGAGTGTGAGCCAAAAGTCAAAGCCACGTGTGTAACTTTACATTTTCTAATAATCATGTTCCACCACCGTCTGTTTGTCGTACTGTGGTGGCTTATGTGTTGGCACAATGCTGGAAGCCATGCCACTGGTATTTCAAATACCCCCTGGCTGGTACAGAGCTCTAGCAAACCCCACCCCTCCCCCGGGCATCTGATCCCAGAGGAAGACAGATCCATCATAGGGGTGAGGCCCAGCCTGAGCGCCTGACATTTCTGCTCACAAATCGAATCACCTCCCTTCCAGGAAGTTCTCCCTTGTAAATAAATGAGAATAGAAATGGCCCATATTGAAAAATAATATTGTTAAAATCACTGATTAAGTTTTACAGAACCGTACAGGAGCGAACTAAAAGGTTTTAGCTTTTTAATTTAAGAAAAGACGAATATGATATAATTTCAATTTGTGATCAGATAAGATGTTCTCGATATTGTGGTTTCAATTGGATTACATCTTAATGTACTTTATAAAGTGTCAGGCCGGCTGCAGATGAAGGTGTGTGTGTAATATTCTTTATTAACAATTTAATGGGCTGGAATTCACTCGATCCGTCTTCGTGTTTCGGACCCACCTGGGAGAGCTCGTTAGTGCAGAATCCAAAACTCCAGCCTGGGACGGGAGAACGGAGGGACTCAGCAGTGCTGGCCAGCCCAAGGGGAGACATGGAGGTGGACTAGCCCTCAGGGTCTGCCACGGCCACCTGGTCAAAGCCTTCTCTGGGAGGCCCTGTGGAAAGGCCTCAGGAGTCCCCGGCAAGGCAGGGGAGGGAGGCAAAGAGCAGGGCTGCCAAGCAGGGGCCTAGAGCTTCAGACTCGTAGGGTGAGTGGGAGCCAAAGCAGCTGTAGGGAGAAGGGAGTTCCCAGCCTGCAGAAGGTGGAGTGTTAGGGCCTCCTCTGGCCGTGCAGGGCCAGGGAAAACGACCACCAGAGTTCACTTCCATCCCTGCTCGTGCTACAGGTACTCAGGGTTCCAGAATGCTCTGACCACACAGCTGGAAACCCCTCCAGGGTCTTCACAATCCCCTTCTGCTGCTAGTATGCATGCCCCTTGCCCGTCGTGCTCAAAGGAGCAGGCTGGGGGCCCTCACGTCGGGGGTGAGACCCCCCCCAGGCAGGCAGAGCAGAGGCAGGGAGGAAAGGGAGTGGGTGTGGGCCGATGACCTTCATTTATTTCATCGTTTGCCTGGACCCCACACCATTAGGGTGGGCCTGGTGGGTTCCAGCCTCTGCCCCCAGCCTCTCTGCGGCCTGGGCTTCTGCGAGGCCCCTCCACACCAATGGGGGTGAGCAGACCGGCCTCAGGACTCCACAAGCCTCCTCAGCACCTTCCCAGCTGACTCCCTATGAAATAGGATCCTGCCGGCCCCTGGGGTGGTGTGAGGTCCAAAGGGGACCTGGGAGTGGACAGGGGGACCAGGCTGGGGCCAGTCCTAGGAGGCTTCTGTGGGGATCTGGAAGAAACTTCCCTTCCCAGGAAGCCAGTGTGTGTGGGGACAGGAGATGGCCAGTTACAGAGACAGATGTCCCCTCAGATTTCCACTGTGGGTGAATGTGGGCTCCATTCTGGCCCAGCCCAAGCGGGGTTCCCCCTTGAGGGCCCCCCATGGGACAGGGGCTGCAGAGCCTCCCACAGAGAGGCCACCTCTGCGGGGGCACCAGGCTCCAACCCTTGCATCTAAATCCAGGCCCTGCCCACTCCAAACATGGGGCCCTGCTCCTAGACTCAGTTTCTCCTCTTGTCAAAGAAACAGAGGCATGCTTGCAACTCCCCAGTTTCTACGAAGGGCCTGCATGGCATATGGGGGATCTCCAAAGGGGCCACGCCCCACCTTCCTATCCCAGAGACGCCCCTCTGCCCTGGGCAGGATGGGTGCCAGAAGCCCCTTCCCTTCTCTGGGCCTCACTCCCTCCTGTGATATGGGAGGGGATTTGGCTGGGGGTGGAGGGAACTGGGAAGGACCCGGCTAGCCTCTCCCATCCTGGACTGAGAACCACCTTATCTGCACACACTCCTGGCCTCCCACCCAGGAGGCCAGCACTGAGAGAGGAGGGCTGGGCAGAGCAATGCAACTGCAGAGGTGAGGGGAGTTGGGGTGGGCGTATCCAAATGAAGTTGTCAGGGCCTCACCTGCCCCTCAACTGTTTACACCTCAGGAGGCAGCGGAGCCCCATTTGCAGGCTAATTCCTTATTCCCAGGGTGTAAGAGGAACCCCAGGGCATCCCCTGATGGGGGTTCCCGAGTTAGCCCCTCTCTGTGACCCCTAGGCCCAGAGCCTCCCCTCGCACCCCAGGGCTGGGACCCCACAGCCTGCATAGAGCCTGGTGTGTGGGGTGACAGTAGGTTGGAGGACAGGGTCCCCAGGCTCGTGCTGGGCATCTTACCACTTGGCAATGGCCACCCTTCTGGGCCCCGGGATGGTGGGGCGACCCCCCCGGGCTTGGCGATGCCCCCGAAACACCCTAAGGACCTTTACTCTGTTCCCTGTCCCCTCATCTTTTCCCTGCTGGCTTGGGGCATGGTGGAGGAGGATGGACTCTGTGCCCACAGGGATGCTGGAACCCCACGATCTAATTCAGTTCCCACAGCCATGGTGGGGGTGGGGGCAGGGCAGCTCCCCAGGGTCCCACAGGCCAGCTCCAAATGGGGTCTGTCTCTGTCACTCTCCTCCTTTTACAGGTGAGGAGACTGAGGCCTGCAAAGTGGGGGGTGGTCCCATGGTGCAGCTCCAAGCCATCAAGGTGCTGTCGGTGCTGGCCCACATCTTCATCACTGGAGTCCCCAGGGAGAGGCCTGGGAGAATGGGGAGGGGGTATAAATGCCCCAGCCCCTCACACTCCCAGGGTATCACTGAGCGAGTAGGCCCCAGCAGGGTGGAGCCCACAATCCTAACTTGCTGGATAACCCGCGGGTCCTGGATCCTTCCTACCACATCTAAGACCCGTGCATACTCCCAGCTCAGCCTTCCCCAAAAAGGGGCTCTCAGGACACCATCCCACCCTCGATCCTGGAGGTGCAGTCCCAGATTCTAACTTGCTGTGCGGTCTCTGAGAGCTATGTGCCCTTTCTGAGCCTCGGTTTCCCAATCTGTAAAATGGAACGGCTTTGGAGTACTCCAGGGCCCATCTTTGCTAAGTGGCACTCTGCCTCCCCCTGGTGGCCAAGGAGCCACATTGCTGTAGTCTGAAGCCCCCGTCCCTGGTGGGATCTGCCTGGGAGGACAGAATGGGGGGCCCAGGTATGGGGTGGGTGGGACCAACAGGCTCAGCTGGACATGTCAGGCGGAGCCAGTCCAGGCAGCCCTCCACACCACTTGCCAAGGTGGCATCTTCCCAACACGCAAGTCTGATGAAAGGACCTCTGCTCAGAACCCCCGCGCCACCCTGAGTCCCTCCATCTAGGCCGTACTGATCACTTGGGGCACCCCTTCTCCCTCCCCGGCCTCCAGCTCCGCACCCATTGGCACCTTGGAGCTTCTAAACCACTCCCCAGATCCCTCTGCCTGGCTCCACTGCCACCTGCCTGGTAACTCCCCACCCGTAGCCCGGGCTGGGATCCTGGGAGCTGCCCCCTAGGCCAGGCCCCCCATGACGCCAAGCCCACTGCAGGCTGCCGTCCACTTCCCCTCCAAGGCAAGGGTCTACCCCCAACTCACAGAGAAAACAGAGGTTCAGGGAGGGGAAGAGTCCTCTCACACATGAACCGCCTTCCAGCTCACCAGGTGGGGAGGTTCCAGCCTGACAGTGGGGTCCTGGGGTCCAGCAACCCTGTCTCTGGGAGGAGCTTCGAGGCCGGGCAGAGCTGGCTCATTGCTCATGCTGCAGGCGCACCGAGACCCTTGATATGGGCTGAATTGTGCTCCCCCAAAAGATATGTTGAAGCCCTAACCCTGTACCTGTGAACGTGACCTTGTTTGGAAATAGAGTCTTTGGAGATGTTACCAGTTAACATGAGGTCATACTGGAGGAGGGAAGGTCCTGATTCCATCTGAGTGGTGTCCTTATGAAAGAGAAAAAGAGACACAGGGACAGACACAGAAGGAAGACAGCCATGTGAAGATGGAGGCAGAGATTGGAGTGATGCGGCCACAGGCCCAGGAATGCCTTGAGGCACAAGAAGCTGGAAGAGACAAGGAAGGATCCTCCCCTACAGCCTTCAGTGGGAGTACGGTACCCTGATCTAGGACTCCCGAGACACTTAATTCCTGCGGTTGTAAGCCTCCCCCCGATCCCACCCCCCGTTTGCAGTACTTTGTTGCAGCAGCCCCAGGACGCTGACGCAGGCCGGAATGGGGTCACAGAGTAGGGGCGGAGTCAGGTGAGGCTCAGGCCCTCTGAGCCCCAAGGAGTTGCCCCTCCCCCAGGTTCTTCTCCCGCTGACAGCATGCCCTCCATTGAGAGTCCGCTGGAATGGCAACTCCGATTCCAGCTCTGCCTGGATCCCCAGACCCTCAGGTCCAGTTGGGGTGCAGACTGGCCCCCCACAGCCCACTGTGCTGACGTCCATAGCGGCTGCCTGTCTGGAGCCTCGGTGTGAACCTGCTGTCACTGTTTAACCAGAGGCGCCCTGCCCCAGGAGGCAGTGGTTACAGATATCAAGCCCCCAGGGACATAGCGCCCCCACAGCCAGCACCTGGGGGCTCACAGTTTGCACCTCAGTTTGCCACAGCTTCCTGCCCCCCATCTCCTGTGAGTGCAGCCAGGCCAGGGAACGCCTGACGCCCACTCCATTGTGACCAGGAGAAGCTCAGTGAGGTCAGTGTCAGGTCCGAGGCCACAGAGCGCATCCATGCTGGGAGTGGACCTAGAACCCGGGTCCGAGACCTCCAGGCCCAGTGCGGAGCTGTGGGGACACATGGGGGCACCAGCGCTAGGGGCACAAGGCAAGCGCGGTTAGTCTCTTTATTGAGGCCACCAGATCCCACAGAGAGGGCCTCTCCAGGATCCCCGTCCTACCACTGTCCTTTCCTGGGCCCGGAGGCCAGCCCGACGCGTGATGAGGGTCCCTGCTCGCCCAGCAGCAGCTCACTCAGGGGTCTTGCTTTTTTTGTTCCTCCAGATCTTGGACAAGCGGAACTTGGGCTTCTTTCTCTGGTCCCCTCCGCTTCTCTGGAGGTCTAGGGGGCAGGATGGACAGTGAGGCTCCTCTCAACCGCCTCTTGGCCATCGCACCAAGTCCCCCTTCTGGAACTTTCCTCCCTCTGCATCCCCCCCAGCCTGGCCCATACAGCATCTGCGGGAAGCCAGCCCAGTGTGGATCACCCACAGACAGGGCACACCTGCTCTGGGACTTCCACCTGGGCTGGGTGCCACATGAGAACAGGGGTCCCTGCCCAGCACACTGGGGATCTGGAGCAGGAGCTTATCAGAGTGGTCCCCCAGCTGTTCATGGAGCCTCCTATCCCCACACAGAGGCTGCCCCCATGGGTGGCCCCCACCTGAGCCCCCAGCCCTGTTCCCCCACATCCACCAAGGTCGCCATCAGTACCCAGCTTCTGGATCATGTCCTGTAGCATCTGGTCCTCCTCTTGCTCCCTGAAGCAGGGATAGAGGTGGTCGTGAGGGCAGCATGCCCTGGAGGGGGGCTCGCCATCCTAGGGCCCTGAAGCCCCCCACCTCAACGCCACAGCCACCCGCTCTCTGGCCTCCCCCACCCCCACACCTGCTGCCCCCACTCTGCACCCGGCCTCCCATCAGTGACATAAGAAGGGCCTGGGCAGACCCTCTCCCCGGACCCTTCGAGCTCAATTTCACCTTCCAGCCCCAGCCTCGGCCACCAGCCCTGCGTGGCCTGGGCAGGTCCCCTATCTGGACCCAGGGACAGGGACACTGGGGGGAGGGGGGATTTGAAGCTGTGCTGTCAGCACAACAGCCAGGAGACACCAGTTGCTATGTGCGTTCAAACCCACTCAGTGTAACGAAATACGAAATTCCCCAAGTGCTCAGGGGCCACACGTGGCTGCCGTACTGGACAGCAAAGTTCATAGAACATTCCCATCTTCTGGAATGTTCTACTAGACGATGCTGACCCTGAGGGCCAGGGATACCAGGGGTGAGAAGGGGCCCAGCGGTGAGCTTGGTAACACTGAATGCACGAATGACCCTATCAGAGACTGAGGGGGGCCTGGCTCCTCCCTGCTGAGTCGGGCATGGGACAGGCCCCACCTGAGCCGGTCCTTGTCCAGGAAGTCGACGATGTCACTTCGATCATTCACAGTGTTCACGTACTGGTTCAGTAGCTCCTTCTCCCGCTGTCGGTCCTGGGGAGACTTCAGGGCCTCTGTGGGGACAACTGGGCATCAGCGATACCCCAAGCCCCAGGGACAAAGCGTCCCCCTGATTCTTTCAACATCAGATTCAAGGAGGGGATGGGGTCTTGGGGGCACCTGGGAGAGGGTCTGTGGCCTGCAGTGGGCTCTCGGTAATGCCAATAGAATGGATGAATGATTGAATGAATGAACAGCCCTACCACAGACTGAGTACCGCCTGCCCTTCCTCCGGGCCACCTCACCCATCCGCACAAAATCCCTGCCCATTGCTGTTGCTGTTAGTTGTCACTGATCTGGCTCTGACTAATGGCGGCCCCGTGCCCAACAGAACAAGATGTTGCCTGAGCCATCTTCACGACTGTTGGTAGGTCCACTGTTGCAGCCACTGTGCATTTTGAGGGCCTTCCAACCTAGGGGGCTCAGCTTTCAGCAGTGTATCAGACAATGTTCCATTGTGATCCATAGGGTTTTCACTGGTTAATTTTCAGAAGTAGATCACCAGGCCTTTCTTCCTAGTCTATCTTAGCCTGGAAGCTCCACTGAAATACCATGGGTGACTCTACCAGTATCTGAAATACTGGTGGCACAGCTTCCAGCATCACAGCAACACATAAGCCACCACAGAGCCACACATGGCAGAAAGGTCATAGCTGCCCACTGCAAAGATGATGTGGAAACTGAGGCTCAGGGGCTGGAGGGCAGTTGGCAACTCACCAGGCTTGTCCATCAGCCTCCGCAGCTCCCCCTCCAGGTCCATCTGCTGTTCCTCCAGGTGCTGGTCTTTGGACCTGCTCAGGGGGACGGGTGTCTGAGGCAGGCCCCTGGCAGCCCTCCCCACCCTCCACGACCAACACCCACATAGTACATCAGCTCCCCATCCCCCATGGCTGACACTCACTTGTACATCAGCTCCGACTCCAGCCTCAGCAGCAGCTGCTTCTCATGGATAAGTCGGAACCAGTCCACCATGAGGCTGTCCTCCGAGGCATCTGCAGAGAGGAGCCAGCTGGCTTGGGGGGCCGCAGGGCCCCCAGACCAACACGCAGTGCGGGGGCCCTGGTTAGGGCCCAGGGTCACAGGGTCAAGCTGGCACTCAAGCTACGGGGGTGAGCTAGCTGCAGCCAGCCTACACCTGGGCTAGCCTTGGGCTCAGACATGGAGACACGGGCTGAGGGGCTGACCCGGGTCAAGGGGCTGGCCTGGGCCGAGGGGCTGGCCTGGGCCGAGGGGCTGGCCTGGGCCAGGGCTGAGGATGTACATGGGGTGCAGGGGTCAAGCTGGGTGGTGGGCAGGCCAGGCACTTGAGCCATGGTGGGGGTGAGCTACCCTGGTGGCTTTGGGCCAGCCTGCACCTGGGTGGGCCTTGGGCTCATACATGGAGACTCACCTCCCTCGGCTGCCCGTAGCCGCTGCTCCAGCTCCACGCCCTTGAGCTCCAGTGCGTCCAGCTGCCTCTCGATGTCCTGCACCTGCTGCTGAATCTCCTCCTGGGGCACTCGGTTGGGGTGCAGCTGTGGACATGGGGCAGTGAGGGGCCGCCGAGAGCAGGGCAGTTGCCCCCCAACCCTCATCCTGACCCAGCCCACTCACCCTGACCGGGGAGACCACAGCCTTGCAGGACGGGGTGGGGACGTCAGCCAGGCCCAGGGGTCTCCCTGTGGAGGGGCAAGGTGAGCCTGGGCAGCGGGCCAATGTGGCCTTACCAGCAGACCCCACCCTGATGTCCCTGCTGTGCCCCACCCCAATGGTGAGAGCTCAGAGACAGACCCAGGTCCCGCCCACATGAAGCACCTCTCACCCATCCTGCCCCCCGAGGCCCCTCCTCTGGTGGGCAGCCTCCTCTGGGGCCCTCAGGCTGCCAGGAGAGAACACGGTGTCATCACCAGGCGTCAATGACAACAGGAGCCAGGAGGCCCAGATTCTGTTCAGTCCCCCAATCTGGTCACAAGGAAAGTCCTGGCGCACAGGGGGCTTGGTATCCGGGCCACCTCACCCTGTCCTCAAATTGGCCAAGCCTCCAGGTGTCTCTGGTTCCTCCCCCTGGGATGCCCGCCCCTCCATTCCAGGCCCAGTGAGCTCCTATTCATCCTTCAAATCCCTACTCAGCATCTTCTATGCAGCAGAAGCCTCCTTCATTCATGCCCCAAACGGAAGCAGAAAGCCAGCGTCTTTGGGGCTGACCTGGCTTGTCCCAAGGGTGGGCCTCTGCCTCCTTCCAGCCAGGGGGCGGGGCTTCCTGCCCGGAGGGCTCGGTCGTCAGCCAGTCTGCAGACACATCCAGGCTGGCAGGGACCGCCAGCCTCTTGCGGCTGGATGGGAAGGGGGATGCGGCTGCTAGGGGAGGGGAGGCAGAGCCACGTCAGGCCAGCAGGCCAGGGGCCCTCCCCACCCCTCACGGCTTCCCTGAGCCTGGGGCCCACCCGGTGGCCATGGGGAGCCTGGGGTCTGTCCCAGCATGGCTGAGGCCCCAGCATCACCATGCCAGCACCCTACATGACAGGGACCAGCCCTTCTGTCCATGCTCAGCCCAACTGACCACGTCCACCCAGGGAAGGCAGAGTGTGACACCCAGAGAGGAAAACTGAGGCCCAGCAGGTTGGGCCACCCAGGACCACCAACTCCAGCTGAGCAGGGAGGTTGCCCCGACCTCCAGCCGGGTCCCCAGAACCCCAGGCGGCTGCCCTGAAAGAGAACTGCCTAGGTCTGGGCTCCCTGGCTGGGTAGGTGGACAGCTGGAGCCCCTAGGGTCCCATCCACATTACCTGAGAGGCTGGGTCCGGGGGTCCTGTCAGGCCGCACAGGGGTCAGTGTGATGCGGACACTGCCCTCGGAGCTCCCTGACACCTTCCTGGGTGCATCACCCACCTTCGACTCTCCCGGGGCCTGAGGTCCCTTCAGCTCCAGAGCCCTGGACGGAAGGAGGGGGCTGAGCCCCTGCACCTGCCGCCCCCAGGTGTGAGCTGCTGACGGGCACCCAAAGCCAGGTGCAAACACACCTGTGCAGAACACGCCGGCCCTGGGGCAAGGAAGGGCCTTGCCTGCTCTCATGGGCACCCACCACCGCGCTTGTGGGCCTGGACACTTCTGAATGCCCAGAGGACACAATGGACACCCAGGTGGGTTATTTCCATGTCTATCTGTGCACCCATCTTCACAGGTGTGCACACACTCAAGTGTCCACAGGTAAGCTGTGTGTGCATGGGTGTGGACTCTGCCCCCTCGGCCCGGGTGTATGCTGAGGAGCCAGGGTGGGGCAGGCACCTGTCCGGCCCTCAAAGGTGCAGCCTCCATTCACAGAACGCTGCAGTGGAGACCGCCGCCTCCCCTGTCCTTACAGAGTTCTTCTGGAGAACCACCCCTGCCCATGGCAAAGCATTCAAGGCAGGGGGCAACCCCAGCACTGGTGCTGGGGGTCAGTCCTCGGGGTGTGATCCAGGGACGTGCTCTCGTGTCCCCGCCCCCCAGGCACAGTGACCAGCTCAGAGCGGGATGGGGACATCACAGAGGACGAAACCCTCTGAGGCCGCCATGCCTCCAGTGTCCCCATCACAGGAGTGGACACGTCACTTAATGACCTCCCCAGCATCACTGACGCCACATAAGCTGGCTTCTGTGACATACAGCTGATGCTCAGGAACAAACAGACATGCATACGTCAGGCAACCAATGTGTGTGCTGTCATTCCTCCACAAGCATCTATTGAGTGCCTACTGTGTGCCAGGCCCCATGCTTCTTGTTTATTACCATCAAGTCGATTCCACCTCATGGCAACCCCATGTGTGTCAGAGTAGAACTGCCCCATAGGGTTTTCAATGGCTGTGATCTTTTGGAAGCAGATCACCAGGCCTTTCTTCCAAGGCACCTCTAGGTGGGTTCAAACCACCAACCTTTCGGCTAGTAACCGTCTGCGCCACCCAGGGACTCCCCTGGGCCTGTATCTAGTCTGCTCCTTATATTCTGCTCAAAAGTGATGTAAGGCCCCATGCTAGCTTGGGGATTCAGAATCCTGCTCAAGCAAAACCCACAGGTAGCGGCCACGCAGGTGTGGGTCAGGGCAGGTGAACCCCCACTAAAGCGGCCTGCCTGCCCTCACCTCTCAGCAGAGCTTTTCTTCTCCACAGGCTTCAGCCGGGACCTCCACCCTGCCGGGCTGTCCTCTGGCCCCTCCTGGAGGCTGGCACTGGGACCTGGGTGGGGGCAGGGAGACCATCAGATGGAGGTGCTGTGGATAGGAGAGCACTCATGCCACCCATCTTCCCATGGCTGCCCCACCTTCCGACACCCCCGAAGTCACAAGCAAGGAGCACTGGACTAGGAGTCCAGAGACAGGTGTTCGTTCCCAGGGAGGGCCACACCCCCTCCAGGCCCTAACTGCCCCTCCAGCCACATAGCGAGGGGGCTGGGCAGCCCTGGCCGGCGGGCTTCTCCCCGTATCTGTGCAGGATCAGCAGTGCGTCCCGTCTCCACCTGCTTTGGTTACCACCGCAGAGTGGCTTTGATGGTAGGAGCCCCGGCTGGTGAAGCCCCAGGCACCTCAAAAGACAGCCGTGTGCCCAGCAAGAAATAAGCTCCCTGTTTGGTGAAGAGGTAGACTTTCCCAGCAGCACAAGGGCAGGGACCAGGAGGCCGCCACCCAGGGGGACCCCTGCCTGGAGAGGGGTCCTGAGCCCCTCAGAGTACAGCAGGGCGCCCCATCCCAGAGCCAAGGACGGCAGCTCCAACCCTTCTGGCTCCAGAAACCCGGAACGCTCGGCTGAGTCAGCAACGCAGCTGTGAGTGAGGCAGGAAGCTTCCAGAGGGGCCGGTTTGGAGGTCTGGGCGGTGGATGGGACTTCACAATGTAACCCTGCAGGCAGCCACCACCGCATAGGAGAGCGCTGCGGACAGGACGAGGGTGGGACCCAGGGATGCCACGGGGCACAGTCGTGGAGGACAAGATGCCAGGAGCTTGACTGGGAGACAGCTGACGCTGCAGCCCCTCAAGCAGGTGCGGAATGGCGGCTGAGCAGAACGAGGTCCTGCACCCTGCATCCGCCCACATCATCTTACCCTTCACAGTCGGGGGCTCCTCCAGCTTCACCCTGGAGCCTGCACCGGCCCTGCTGCCCCCCAGGGTGACCACTGGGCTCTTCCTTCCAGCCCGGGGTGACGAAGAGGCCCTGGAGGCGGTGCTCACACTTGGGGGTGCCCCCAGCTCAGCCCTCGAAGGGGGCTCACTTCTTGCAGTGGGGCGGTGAGCTGGGGGAGGCGTCACCAGTGACAGCTTAGCTGACTGACTTGCCCTTGGTTCTTCGACTTTGGGATGGGAATTCAGGACAGGGGAGGAGGCTTGGGGTGGCCTGTGGGTGAGAGGTGAGCTTCAGGCATGGGTGCACTCAGATGCCCCCCCCCCCCGACTCCCCAGGCAGGAGCCCCTCGGGCTACAGAGGGGGTCCATTAAGGTGGGGCTAAGGGCACCCACTGTATAGTTGGCAGATGATCATACCCTCTTATTTAAATGGGGTGTCAGATGAGATGAAAACGCCCCTAACACCCCACCGATAGGGGCTCGGAAGCCCTGGGGCTGAGCCATGGAGACCTCTGCCCAGATCCATGGCTATCCTGGACCTGCCTAGCTCAGCCCTAAGGGACCAGCAGGCCTCGAAGCCCCTCCATGCTGAATCCTCCATACAGCTGTGTGTATTTGGCACCGTCCTGCATACCCTGGCCTCTGGCTTTCAGAGCCCAGGCTGGGGATACCAGGCCCCCCTAAGCCAGCTGCTATGTGCACACCAAGGCCGGGGCAGCTTCTCCTCATCCACCTCCCTCTTGTCTTCTCCTCTGGGTACAGGGTGGCCGGGCTGGGTTCCTAGGAGGAGCTGGGCCCCTCCCCAGCCAGACTCCCCTCCAGAGCACCGGCACAGAGCCCAGCACAGAGCCTTGGCCCCCACAGGTGCCCTGGGCTCCCCAACTCCCAGGAGTGGATAGACAAGCACACACTCATCCAAGTCTGTGCCCACCCTGGGAGCCCCCAGGCACCACCCGCTGACCGACAGGAGGGGGTGGTCAGGCAGGCCTGAGCCGGGGGCACCCCAGCCTGCAATAAGGGGTGGGTGAAGCAATGAACAGTGTGTGAGCGGCCTGAGACACTGAGTCCTCCATTTGGCTGTGTGTGTTTGGTGCCATCCTGCTCTGCCCTCTCTAAGGGAACGTCCTTTATTTGGTCAGCAAATGCCAGCTCAGTGTCTAGCATGTGGAAGGCCCCAGGCAGCGCCAGGTAAGCTGAGCCTCGCTCAGGGTTGGACACGCTGGTGACCCGACCAGCGTGGGGACTTGGAAAAGCAGAGCCACCCTCACCCGTTTCCTCATCTGTAAACCAAGCATCAGACCATCAGATAATGACAAAGGGGTGTGCCATGTTGCAGGAGGCAGCCACTGTGGCACGTAGGGTACCCCAATATCATTGTAATAACCATGCCCCACTTCCTTGCCCCCCCGAGCACTCCACACCCACTGCTTCATGCTCCCATTTCTCAGACCCAGGAAACTGAGGTCCAGGGAAGCAGTCCCTAAGGCCACAGCTAGGGAGGGCAGAGCCAAGTCCCCTCCCCAGGCTGCACCAGACCCTCTGACCTCCCGGTGGCTGCTGGTGGCTGGTGGGCAGGTAGAGCCCACACACCCAACCCCCTCCCTCTTCACTGACCTGCTGGGCGCCTCTGCAAGTCCCAGAAGGGCTTTCTTGAGGAAGCTCCGCGCTTGTTCCCGGCTGCTGTCCCTTGGAGGTGCGTCCACTGAATCCTGGCCTCCTGGGCCCACCTTCCCGGGCCCCCCACTGGCTGGGCCATTGCTGGGGACCTCGAAGAACCTCTCCCGGGCCCGCTGGGTCCTGGAGGCCGCGGGGGTCTGGGCTGGAGGGTCTGAAGTGCCTGAAGACACTGGGCTCGAGCTGAGCTTGGTCTGAGGAACTGCCACTCGGGGAGCTACCTGGACCTGAGGCACAGCTGGGCGAGGGTCCTGGGTGCTCAGGGACCCCGCCGGCTGAGGCTTGGCTGCTGTGGTCTCCTGCGTCTGCGAGGACCACCCAGTTGGCGACCTGTTGGTCACCTGTGTTCTGGCCTTGAAGGTGGGGCTGGATGCCACAGGGCCCGAGGGGAGCCTGGGCGTGGCAGGGCTCCCCCGACAGACATGAGAGGAGGCGGCAGTGGTGGGAGGGTCAGGCGTCGACAGAGCGAAACGTCTGGCCACTTGGCCGCCCACCACAGGTTCCTGGGCTGGCTGCCTTGCCTCCAGGCCTGCTTCTCGTGGCCCTTTCCTCTCCTGGGCCTTCTGTTGGGCACTGAGGGGCCTGGAGTCCACGGGGGTGGCCCCCAACTGTCTGTGGGCCAGGCCTGGTGATGTGGGGCTTGCAGAGGTGGCTTTAGGGTGGTGGCTGGTGCACTCGAAGACGCCTGGCTCCCCTGTGGCCCGGTAGGCCCCCAAGTGTAGCGTATTGGAGCACTGCTTACACCTGGGTTGGGGGGAGAAGAAAAACATGAGGAAGCCCCCAGCTCCATGCCTGTGTTCATTCACTCATTCACCCATTTGTTCACCCATTCTCACTCTCCCTAGAGCACACCCTTAAGTATTCCTGTGTCCACTCCTGTGGCTGTTTATTCACTCAACAAACACCTCTTTTATTGGGTCTTAGCCATTTTACTTCCTTAGGGCCATGGGGACCCAGGAAGTGCTTGTATATGTCAACACCTACAGACAGACAGGATGCTCTGTGTGCCACTTCAAGGGGTCAACCCCTCCAGCCCTTGCGGAGTACTGGGGTAATAAAAATAAGGAAGATCCTCTTAAAAGCTTGCAAGCGGCCCTCCAAGGCAGGACAATTGGCCCCTATTTGCCTGGAGCAACAGGGGAAGAAGAAGCATCAGGAATAGGAGGAAATAGAATGTGTGGCTAATTGCCCCCATGAACAACTGCTTCCTTTGCCATGAGACCAGAACTGGATGGTGCCCAGCTACCATTACTGAATGTTTTGATCCAAGATTCTAGAGAAAAATTCTGATCAAAAAGGGAGGAATACAGAACAGAATTTCAAATTTTCATGGAATCCAGACTTTCTGGAGCCATTGAGGCTGGATGAACCTCTGAAACTATTGCCCTGAGATAGTCTTTAAACCTTAAACCAAAAATATTCCCTGAAGTCTCCTAAAAAACCAAACAATAGGTTACCTTAATTAGTAAAGAATGTCTGCCTTGAGCATTATGCTCTTTGAAGAACTACATAAATGGGATCAAAGTGACAACAGCAACTCGAAAGATTAGATAAGAACCTTGAGGGCAGTGATTTTGTGTTAATGGAGGAGAAACAACTCAGCAAAGGAGGGTGTGAATGGTTGCACAATTCAAAGAATGTAACCAATGTCACTGAATTGTACACGTGTAGACTGTTGAATTGGTGTATGTTCTGCTGTGTATATTCTCAACAATAAAATAAATGAATAGCCTGTTGTGCAATGCTGTTTAATAAATAAACCAATAAGGAAGACCGTAATCTTGCCCTCCCGGGGTTCCCAGGCCTGGGAAGTGCAGAGTGGTAGGGAAAGGGGATTGCAGATGGCCATAGAATAAAAAGCCCTAATACAAAGGGCTTTGAGCTGCAGAAGGGAGACTGAGGTATCTGCCTTGAAAGACATCAGGGGGGCTTCTCAGAGGAGGCATTGGAGAAGGACGGCTAAGTTGAGAGGGAGGGGTAGACGCCCAGTGGTGTCAGGAAACAGCGAGGCATTTGGGCTAAGAGAGGGGGACAAGGCTGAGGAGGAGAAAACAGGCAGACAGGAGGGCCTTGGTGATGTCTGGGGGTGATGGGAGCCACGGGAGTATTTGAGGAGGGGAGGAACACACCTGAAGCAGTTCCGGTGGTAGAGCCTGCCATCCACCAGGTGTCGCTGCACAAGGTGCACGTGCTTGCCGCAGACCACACAGGTGCTGCTGACGGAGCTGCCCTCAGAGGCTGGGCCCTTGAAGGGGGGATTTCCAGGAGCGGCTGAAGCCCAGCTGACACTTCTGACCTCTACCCCACCACCAAGGGCCGGGACATGTGCTCTAACCCCATCATCCTCAGAGCCACTCTCAGGCTAAGGGCAGGTAGATGCCACCTCACAGAGCAGAGAGCAGGGCTCTGGGAGGCCCCTACCTGCCAGGGACACAGGTGGGCCTATGCCCAGGTAGGCCAGACACCCAAGTCAGGGCCTCCGGCCTGGCCCATGGGGCCCTCCAGCCTCAATCCCCTGAAAGAGGGTTCAGGACCTGACTTGGTTGGTCCCGGGAGGATCAGGGCACAGATTCCAGCCCCGTTTGTTTCCACCCACTGCCCCCCAACCACAGGAGCAGAAATCCAATCCTGTTTCAAACACCCAGTGCCATGTTTTGCTCTAGACCCACGGAGCCGGGTATGGCAGCCCCCGGACAGCAGGGGGCGCCCAAGCACAAGTTATCCCCAACCTCAGCCGCCACCTCTGAAAAGTGGGGTTCCCTACATGCGTTCACAGGGCTGGCCTGAGTAATAAAGGCCACACCTAGCACCCCTCCTGGCTCGGCCTCAGGAGGTAGCCTGGGTCAGAAGACGGACTTGAGCCCAGATAACTGGGTCCAAAGTTTGAGTGCTGCTTCCCCTGTGTGTGCTCCCTGAGCCTCGGTGTACCGTCTGTAGAATAGGGTCACAATACAACCATGCAGGGCTGAAGTAGCTTAGGGGCAAGCCAGTCTGGGGGGCTCTCGTTAAAGGGGGCTGAGGCTGTACCTGGGTCCCCAGGGGAGACTCGTTCCAGCCTGGACCATTTGTTTTGGGGTCTCCCACACTCCCATGAGCCCCTCTCAATGGGAGCTGGTGGAAAACCCAAGATACCAGATGGAGGGCAGGCGGGGCTGCTTACAGCCTTTGGGGGAGGGCCCTGTGCCCCTGCAGCCCTCCCCTGGACAACGGGGTTGGTCCTGGCTGGGGACAGTGGCAGGCCCCGGGGCGGGCCAGGCGAGGGCAGCTGGGCCAGGGCCTTCTTCCCAGTCGGTTCCTCCTCGGAGTCTGACGGAGGCCTCTTCACGCCGGCCATGCCCCCAACTGGCATGAGAGAGACAGGTGGGGGTGAGGGGGGACCTGGCCCGGCCTCCCCGAGCTCAGAACCTGCGTCCCTACCTGGGCTGGTCCCCTGGGAGGCACCCAGCATGGGGACTGGCACGCAGGGTAGCAGGAGAAGTGGACAGCTGACCCCTCCTGCTGTCTCGGGGCTGGTCTGGGGAGGGTGCAGCCCCGAGCAGAACCTTGGCCACCCTTCCTCCTCGCCTCCCTGCTCCAAAGTCCCATCGGGTCGGGAAAAGGGACTTTCTGTTTCCCGTGAGTGGGGACGTGAAGGCGGGTTGGCCCCTTGCCCAGTGATTCCGGGGATTTCTAAGGCTGGGATGAGGAATGTGGGGGCGGGGAGGGGCTGGAACAAAGGGCCCTGAACTGGGGCGGGGAGCCTGGGCCTGCCCTCCTTGCCTGGGTCCCACCCTGCCAGGGCTAGAAGTCAGAACAAATAGGGGAGGGGGTGTCTGGAGCTAGGCCTGGGGGCCTACCCAGGGGTTGCCAAGCTACCCAAGGAAGAGCAATGGGCACAGAGCAGCGGGGCTCAGATGGGCACACTGAGGCCGGGGAGGGGAGTGAATGAGCCAAAGAGGGAAGGGGAGAGCCAAGCCTGCTCCAAGAGCGGGTCCTGTTGGGAGGGTTGGGGGGCTGGGGGCCTTGCTCACCACCTGCAGGCAGAATGTGGGATGCTGGGCCCCCCAGAGAGAGATGCAACCCCTGCTGCCCAGGCTGGTGGAGGGGTGGACTGGTGGGGAGGGAGAGATGGAGCCCCGAAAAGGCAAGGGGGGCAGCCCCAGCAGAGGGAACAAGGTGACCTGGGGCAGAGGCCTCAGGGATGCACCGCGGCAGGTGGTGGCACTCACTGGGGGAGCGGCCATGGAAGTAGTTATAGTACTGGGACGCGTAGGTCAGGATGCTCAGCCGGTCGGGCACCTTGAGGGCCACCATGTCCTCAGCGTCCAGTAGGGCCGGGATGCCCAGCTGCTCCTCTGCCACACGGAAGGCCTGGCAGGCGGGTGAGGGGCAGCAGTCAGCAGCGGCTGGTGGGACACCCCTCCTTCTCCTCCTCCAGGAGGTGAGAAACCCAACTTGGAGCCCAAAAAAGGTCTGGGTCTGAGGTTCGAGCTCTGCTCTGCCTGTGGGCACTCCCTGAGCCTCGGTCACAATCCTGACCGTGCAGGGCTGAAGGAGCTCACGTCCAGATGGAGGGCCCCTTGATAAGGGAGAACTGAGGTTTGGGGGATCTCGGTCCCACGTCACCCTTGAGACTCCCCAGAACTCCTCACACACCCCACACAGCCCTGGCCGACACCAAACCTCAGATGGTTGGGAGCAGGTCTCCCAGTGGAAGGGGCTGGCACCACCCAGATTCCACCAAGCCCTCCCTCGAGCTGCAGGGGACACAAAGGTGGCCAGCATCCTTGCAGCCAAAGCAACTGGGGGAGGGCTCTAGACTGAGATCCGGGTAAGATACACTGGGCTGGGGAGGGCTGCTTGGGCCAGGGTAGCTGCATTTATAGAGCGCCTACTGCACACCAGGCATCACCGACCAGCTGGCAGCAGCCCCTCTCCCATCCCCATTGCCCATCCTCCCTTACCCCTCAAGTATCGGCCCCAGCTGTCTTTGATTCCACTGGGGCCTGCAACTCCAGACCCCACAGCTTGGTGCCCAGGAGGGGCTGGAAAGGACCAACAGATGGAGTGGACAGCCTGGCCTCGCTCCTGCTGTCAGGGTGTGGGTCTGGCCTCCTCCCTGTCCCTCACCCCCTCTTTCCCAGGGCCCCTCATTACAGCCACTCTCCTGCACCCACCCTCGCCCAGCAGACTTGGCTGAACTCAGGGAAACCTGTCTTGGAGACACACAGCTCCCCGACCTGTGCTCTCCTGGTCAGCCTCTGGACCAAGATCAGGACCCTGGCAGGGGGGCTGAGAGCCACCTGCAGCCCAGGCCCCCTCCCTGGCTCTCTGCACCCAGACCTTGCTCGCAGCTGCCCCTCTGTTCAAACTTTAGCCCCTCACGCTCAGGGCACTACCTCACCTCCCAGGCCCCTTAGCCATCAGAAGCCTCAGAGGGGACTCCAGGAGATGCCCCCCTCACCCCCACATCCCTGCACTGGGGTTCCTGAGCTCCCCTTCCTCCCGGGACCATGGGTCACCTGTGCCTGGCTCCAGCCACACTGGGCACTGAGACCCTCCCCTTTGCCTTCAACTGAGGCACCACCCCAGCCAGTCAGCCCTCTTTCTCCATATCAAGTCCTCCTTCTGGAACATTCTGGGCAGCCTCACAGACACGCTGAAACTCCCCCCATTTAAAAAATAAAAGTTGCCAGTTAACACCACTTCTGAGGCAGCCTCCCCGTTTTTCGAGTTTCTTTTACAGCAAAATTCCCTGGGAAAAGCCGGTGTATTTGCTGCTTCCTATTCCTCGCCTCCCTCACTGCCCTGGAATCCCCTCGGCATGCAGGCTCTCCCCTGCTCCTGCCCTTCCCCAAAGGCCCCAGCGACCTCATGTTGCTCAATCCGGCGGTCAGGCTGTGGTCTGGCCTTTCTGGGCCATCGAGGGTTTGGACAGCCGTCACCCCTGCCCCCGGGACACGATGGCTCTGGTCTCCCCCTGCCTCCTGCCGTGGCTGCTCCTTCTTGTCTCCCCGGCTGCTTCCTCCCCTTCTCTGGCTCTGAACATGGCCCATCCTACCTCCCCCATCTCCAGTTTTAAATCTCACCCAGAAGCTGGGGCGTCCCAATTTCTAGCAAGGGCACCCCAGTTTCTAGCTCTAGCCTTTCCCCAAGCTCTGACTCGACCCCACACAGATAGCGGCAGCAACATTTCGATGTAATTACACCCAAAACGGGGCTCCTGGCAGCTCCCAGACCTGGTCCCTCACAGCCCCTGGTCCATGCTCAGACCCCCTTCCGAATCTGTCCAGGATTGATGCCCCTCTGCACCCCCACCGCTGTGGTCCGAGCACTATCCCCTCTCCCCTCCCTGCCCCTGCCATATTCATCCCAGCAGCCTGAGAGACCCTGCTAACCCAGGAGCCGCTCCCCAGATCACCACCCTTCCATGAGCCCCTCACAATCAGAATAGAAGCCAACATCCCCACCACACCCACACTACGTCCTACTCCTCAGCCCCCGCCAGCCCTCCCCTCACCCACTCAGTTCCAGCCCCACTGGCTTCCACACTGTTCCTCTAACGAGCCTCAGGACCTTTACACTGGCTGTCCCTGCTTCCTCCCTGTCTCTATGGGGCTCCCTCCTCACCTCCTTCCCCAAATGTCACCCCTTTGTGGCCCCCAATGCTCCCCACCCCCTTCTCTACTCTATTTCCCCACGGTCCTTATTCTCGTCCAACATATGATAGCATTTTCAGTGTGGTCCAATGGAACTTTCTGTGGTGACGATGGACACGTTCTGTTCTGCGCTGCACTGTACGGCAGCCACCAGTCACGTGTGGCTTCTTTGCCCTTGAAATGTGGTCAGTGCCACGGGGAGACTTCATTTTTAATTTTATTTAATTTAAATTTTAAATCAATAACCACATGTGGCGAGGAGCTGCTGCCCTGGGCAGCGAGAGTTTAGCCAGGTATTTGCTCACTGCCTGCTGCCCCGCCACCGCCCCATATTAGACCTAGGGGAATGGGTAGGGGGGTCAGCAGAAGCCCAGGGAACATTTGCTGAATGAATGAACGAATGCTGCCTTTCTGCACATCAGCCCAGGAGTGACAACGGAGCTGATTGTGCAGTAGAGGAAACTGAGGCTGGCCAGGGAGAACAGGCAGGACTTGGATGCAGGCCCACCTAACTCCAGGGCCCACATCAGGTTAAGGCCAGAGGCTGGTAACACGGGGTGGGGTTTGGCAGCTGGGCCTCCCAGGCCACCCACTCCTGCCGGCCTTGGGTGGTCTGGGCTGGGCCCTTGCAGAGAAGGAGAGTCATCAGCCACTTCCTGCCCCCTCCCTCCCCAAGAAAGAGGGGACAGCAGAGCCTGGGTTGCAACATCAGGGTCTTTTTCTGGAAGTTTGGGGTCACTGACCCCAGCCAGGATTCACTGTGGAACTTGGAGCAAGCCCCAGCCTCAGGGCACCCATCGGCAAGTGGCCTGTGGAAGGGCCAACCCCTTGGGTGCCCAGCGGCTCCTCAGACATGGGTAGGGTGCAGGCAGACCTGGGCTGGCCCAGCTCTGAGGCCCAGGGCTGCAACAGCAGTTTGTGGGTACTCACCAGCTTGTTGTTCTCATAGATGTTTTCCTTCCTGAGAGCATCAAAGTCTCTGGAAGACAAAAACATGTGTGTCCAAAGCCACTCAGAGTCCGAGCAGGCAGGGGCTGGGAGGGCCTCTGAGGTCATCTTGCCCAAATGTGGAAAGTGAGCTGGGGTAGGGCCACATAATGAATGCAAGCATGGCAGGGCCAGGATCCAGGCCGGGCATGCCTGACCTTGCTCTCGGCACTGTGGCACGGCCCAACACCCCCAGTCCCCTGGTGCACAGACAACCCTCGATTGGTCCCCCAGTCCAGCCTCACCTCCAGAGCCCTGCAGGGGCCCAACCCTACCCACTGCCCCATCGAGGGTGGCAGGAGGCAAGCCAGAGACCAAAGTCACCAGCCCAGGCAGCCTAGCCAGGACTCAGCTCAGAGTGGCTGGTCACCCCCTTACAGCTTAGCAGGAAGGTGGGACCCAGGAGGTCCAAATTATGAAGTCCAGTGTATCTATTTTTTCTTTTGTTGCTCGTGAAGGTAGGTGTTATTAATGTCCCCATTTCACAGATGAGGAAACTGAGACCCAGAGAGGTTTGGTGACTCGATCGGGGTCATACTTCTGAGAAGAGAGGACTAAAGCCCAGGCCATTTGCTCTGGAGCCCGGGTGATTAATGTCTGATCATTTGTTTGTTCATGGAGTTGCTTCGTCCAGCACCCACTGGGAGTCTAGGCTCACCCCGTAGAGGGATGGGCCCTAAGGACTGGGGATATCGGAGCCTCTGGCCCCCCGACACACACACATCACAATAGCCGGCTGCAGAGCCAGGGAGCATGGTGGGCATTTCTGAAAAGGCCAAGAGCACAGTGGATTTTTCAAGAGGAAGGAGAGGCGGGGACAATGCCCACACATGGACACTGCACGTCCCGCCACACCCAGAGGGTATCATGAGCAGAAAATACAACCAATAACATACAACAGCCCACACGGCCCGGGCACGGCTGACATATCTGGGATTTGGGCTGAAACACTGATCTGTGTGCCTGTCCACTTTGCTGTGTGGGACCTGCAGGGTGGCTTCGGCCACCCCCCATGTGAACCGTGGTGGCCCAGGAGAAGGCACCCAAGCTAAGAGCCAGATCTTGCCCAGCCAGGCCTACGGGTCAGACCCCAGGCAAGCCCTCTCTGCTCTCAGGGCCTCAGTTTCCGTCTCTGAGAGGACAGCCGCTGGGCTTCCACAGTGAATGTGAGGCCCAGGGCAGCAGGAGACAGGAAGGGAGAGTGGCGAGCCTGAGGTCCCTGTGGCTGCCCAGCCCAGGGACAGCCTGGGTGTGAGCCCACCTGACCAGTAGAGGCTGACACTAGTACAGTTCTTGTCTCCTGACCCCATAATGAGCTTTGAGGGCCCATTTTACAGTTGAGGACACTGAGGCTGGGGGTGGCCTCCCAGAGCCACACGGTGGGGCAGGGGGAGGTGGGATGGGGCTGCAGTCAGCATCTCCCTCCTGGCCCCCCGCATCCCCCCACCCCCCCACCATCTGTGTCTTGTCCTGCCGTCCATCAACCTGCCTGGCTCTTGTGGGAACGGCTGACATTTCCGCTTGGACTCTCCCAGGTAACGAGCTCCACATGTTCTGAGCTCCACATGTTCAGACCACCAGCTGACACACTGAGCACAGGACGAGACAGTGTCCCCTCAGGGGGCAGGTGAGTGCAGGGAGGAGCCCCCCACCCCGGCTCGGAGAGCAGGGACCAGGCTGGCTCCAGCCCCCTGCCACTACATGGACACCTCTGCCCGGCATCCAGCCCCCTGCTGCCCTCCCTGGGTCTACCCCAGATGCCGAGTGACCACAGATGGGTCCGAGGGCAGAGGAGGCAGTGATCTCCCCCGAGAGCCTGAGACTCCTGGCCCTGTCCTCGGCCTCCCCCACAGTCCCAGCCCCCCTCCCAGGTCACTGACTGCAGGAGGCCCAGCCAGAGGGCACAGGGTCACAGGCTCTGTTTTGTCTCCAAACAACACCAGAGAAGGAGACCCCTCATTGGCCTCCATCTGGCCCACGAGGGGTCCACATCCTTCTCCCAGATGGACCCAGAGCCACCCAACTACCCTGGCCGGCCAGTCTGTCCGGCAGGCCCCCGAGTGAGCTTCTCCAAGCCCCAGGCAGAGCAGGGCACCCTGAGGACAGAGGGGCCAGGGCCGCCCTGGGCAGGGTCTCTGGTTCACAGAACGTGCCCTCTGTAACTCAAGTTCGAGGACCACTGCCCCTCAAGGCCAAGCCCAAGGTGCTTCCTGGGACCCCCAGGCCTCCTCAGGGCAGGGAGGGGTGGTGGCTGAACTGCCCTGGCCAGCCTCACGGCTACCAGGCCCCTTTCGGCCTCCAACCTCAGCTCAAGCTGTCCCCTACACTCAGGTACCCTTCCCATCTCTGCCTGAGGCCCCTTACCAGGCCCCTAAGGATTGCTCTGTCTCAGACCCCACCACCAGTCCCATAATGGAGCCCATCTCGGCCTTGGTGTACTGGGGTCAGTGAGCCCTGGCTCCATAGGCCAGGGAGCAGCCAGCATCACCTCATGCTCCCAGAGCTGAGCTCAGAGGTTGTGTGGGAGCCGATATTGTCCCTAAGCGCTGCCTCCTCCCCCTGGCCCCCAGCACTGTCCCATTGGGAGAGCACATGGAATCTCCCACTCATACCCTCTAGAAGCCCAACTCAACCAGTGTCCCGCAGCATGGGGACCAGCCGGGGCTGGCCTGGGGGAAATGGCTGGCCTGCTCTGGGGGCCCTGCTGGACAAAAGTACCCCTCTCAGCACCAGCTTTGCCCCACTCCGGGAGCAGCTGCCCCTCGGTAGGTAGCCAGAAAGAGATGTGGAGGGCCACTGCCGCCCACCACCCTGGGAGTTGAATCTCTTTTAGCTGAATCTTCATCATTTGATATCACTCCAAGGTACCGACGATGGTGCAAGGCAATGGGTTTCTCTTTTTATATGGCCTTTCTGGCCATGGTCTTGTAACTCCCACAAAATGATTGGATGGATGATGCAAATAATGTGCCTGTGGCCCACCAAGAGGATTGGTCAGTTTTGCCATCACTAGGCTTAAAAAGAGCCAATCCCAGAGGTTGAAGGGGGACCTCGCTACCATCAAGAACCAGGAGCAGATTGAGTCCTTTGGACCTAGGGTCCCTGCGCTGAGAACCTCCTAGACCCAAGAGACAAAGAGCTGTTTAACACTGGAGACTGCACGGGACTGGCAGAAAGCTGTAGTGGGCTTGCCAGCCCACAGAGTGAGAGAGCTGAGCGCCTTCAGGCGAAAGGCTTGCTGGAGGAGTGGGATGCTTCCGGGCACTTGTCGATGGAGCTAAAGGGCTACAAGACTTGCCCATGCAGGGCAGAGGCTGAGAGTAAGTCCTGTCTGCCTTCGGGAATGGCGGAGAAGGAGCTGAGAAGTTGGAAGCTGTTCTGATTGACAAACTGTCTCCTGTCTCCTGAGTTGTTCCTGTTACTTCCAAGTCAATCCTGATCCCAAGTGGTAACCTGTTACTTCCCTAATAAACCCCATAATCGTGAGTGTGGTCTGTGAGTTCTGTGTGGCCACTACAATGAATTATCGAACCCAGCAGAGAAGTAGAGAATGCCGTGGGGAGGACAGCTGGTGTCAGAATTGGTATAAAAGGTTGGAGAGTGGAGGTATGTCTGACCTCTACCTTGTAGGAATCAGCCTTGGGTTGATTTTGATTCTCCTGTCTCTCCCTGACATTATATGAGGTCTGACACCACTATATTACAGATGGGCCTAGGCCCACGGGTGGCACTCTATAAACGCTTGTGGATAAACTGATTCATTTGATGTGCACTGAGGGAGGGAACTTTTGCAGGATTGATTTATTGTTTCAACACTGGCTGAACAAATGAAATCATTGGGTCTATATGTCAGTCAAAGCCCTAGTGGTGCAGTGGTTAAGAGCTTAGCTGCTAACCAAAAGGTTGGCAGTTCGAACCCACCAGCCTCTCCTTGGAAACCCTATGGGGCAGCTCTACTCTGTCCTATAGCATCACCACGAGTCAGAATTGACTCGACAGCAATGGGTTTGGTGTTTTCGGGTTATATGTCAGTCAGAGTCCCTGGGTGGTGCCAACAATTAACACACTTGGCTGCTAACCGAAAGGTTGGAGGTTTGAGTCTACCCAGAGGTGCCTCAGAAGAAAGGCCTGATGATCTACTTCTGGAAAATAAGCCACTGAAAACCCTACAGAGCGCAGTTCTACTCTGACACACATGGAGCCACCATAGGTTAGGGTCAACTCCACGGCAACTGGGTTTTTATGACAGTGGTGGGACATTGGTGATTCAGGGGTAGAATTCTCACCTTCCATGCTGGAGACCCGGGTTCAATTCCCAGCCAATGTACCTTGTGTACAGCCACCACCCATCTGTCAGTGGAGGCTTGCGTATTGCTATGATGCTGCACAGGTTTCAGCAGAGCTTCCAGAATAAGGCGGACTAGGAAGAAAGGCCTAGAGATCTGCTTCTGAAAATCAGCCAGTGAAAACCCTGTGGATCACAACGGTGCCAAACCCCACCCCTCAGACCCTGCTGATCCAAAACTGATCATGGGGATGGCGCAGGACTGGGCAGTGTTTCATTCTGTTGTACATGGGGTCGCCACGAGTTGGGACCAACTCCACAGCAGCTAACAACACATGCCAACGGTCAAATGTTTGCTGTGACTGTCTCTGCCGCCTCCCACAAGGCCATGACTGACCCATGACCGCCGGCCCCAGTTTGCTGACCCTGCGCCTCCAGGCCCCTGGGGATGGGTGTCCCCTAAATTCCTGGAGCACTGATCGCATGCTGCTTCTTTCTTGCAACCAGAGGCAGCCCTGTGGGGGGTGGGTGCTGGGGGAGGGGCTGGCAGGAGGAAAAGTCTTCCTTCTAGGCGCCTCCAGCACATCTGGAGTTAATCCTGCTGGGAAGGGAAGCTAGAGGGAACAGGGAGGGAGGCAGAGATAGACCGACACAGAGACACTGAGAGACAAAGAGATTAGGAGAGAGACTGAGAGAGGGTGAGACAGACACAAACAGAATGAGATGGAGAGATGACAAATCAGAGACCAAGAGAAAGGGAGAGAGAGAGAGATAGAAAGAGGGAGTGAGAGAGAGACAGAAGGAGGGAGAGGGAGAGACACAGAGACAGAGGGAAACAGAGACACACAAAACAGACACAGCAAGAGCGCAGAGACACACCAGAGAGACCGGCCCAGAGAAAGCTGAGATCAGAAAAACTGGAGAATGAGCAGTGCCAGGAATCACACCCAGGGGACAGACGTGGGAGAGAGGGGGCAGTGCTGGGGGGCAGGAAACAAAACTGGGGGGCTGAGGGGTAGGGGACAGTGCTGGGGAGCAGCAGGAGGTGCCTTAGGCATGGGCAGGAAGGAAGGGGTCAGGGCAGAGCAAGGCTGAGTCCCTGGGCCCCCTTCTTGCACCACATGGGCAAGGGAGATACCATGTCCTCCCTCCCCCCCACCCCCGGTGGGAGCAGACCCTGCTCCCTCCCACCCAGAGCAGGGCCTGGCCCTGGGGTCCTGCCCTGGGGCTTTGGTCAGGGTGGTGGGGGCACTGAGCTCTGAAGGACCTCCTGGGCCCTGGACTGTCCCAAGTCCAGGGCTGCCCACCCCCTCCCCCTCCTTGGCCTGCTCTGGCTGGAAAGCACAGGCAGGGGTCTGGGCAGCAGGCCCTTGGGCCCAGAACAGAGAGCCTCTGTCCCCCAGCAGCTTCCTGCTGACCGCCAGGCCTGCAAGGGAAGTGAGGTCAGCCTGCTCAGTGGCCACCCTCTGCTCTGGCCCAGAAAGGGACACGATGCTGCTTCTGAGCATGGTGGCGGGGGACTCCGGTGTGAACCTTCCCCTGACCCCAGACAACGGGTGGGTCTCGGGGGCCCTGCCACAGTCGGGGGCCCACCCCTGCCTTCTGCAGCCCTGACCTCAACCTCCAGAGCTGCAAGAGATCTCAGAGAGAGTTCGGGTCACCCTTCCACGTGCCTAGGGGAAGGTGGGACCCATGTCCAATACTGTGTTTGCAGCTGAACCTCAGCTTCCTGACACCCCACCCGGGACCCTCACACAACTCGCCCCTCTTTCTCGAAACATCTCCAGGGAAGGAAGCCCACAAAGTTCCTCTGGGGGTGTTTCCCAGCCCAGCACCCAGACTCTAAGCCCCCTGCTTCCTCCCTCACTCTATCCCAGGCTCCCTGCCCCTGTCGCCTTCCCTTCTTGCCCCAAGGAGCTGGAGAGGCACCTGGGAACCCTGGCCCCCCTGGGTCGGGCAGCTGGCCTAGGAGGAACCTGGCCACACTGCAGGAAGCTAGCTCAGCCCAACTCATTTACGAGGGAGGCGGAGAGGGTGGGGCTGTTTGTCCAGGTGGTTCCAGGCCCAACTAGCTGCCGGGTAACAGGGGCTGGTGTCATTGCTGAGCAGGCCCTGTGGGCAGAGTGTGCTTGCTGAGGAGTGTGGGTAGGGCCTGCCCATCCAGAACCTTCCAGGCCTGCTGCAGAGAGCCTACAGCACCTGGGGTGGGGCAGGGGCCGGATGAGCACTGGGCAGGTGGCTAGAAGAGGGGATGGGCTTGGGGGTAAGCGGGGAGCCCCCAGACACCTCCTTCTTGCTGCGTGTCCCTGGGTGAGCTAAACAGAGGCCCATGCACACCTCATGGGGTCCTTGTGAGGTTAACCAATGCAGGTCACGTGTGCTGTGGGGCAGGGACACCGTGACCAAGAACTCCCAGGTCTCCCAGCAGGCTTGGAGCCTGCACCCTTAGACCCCAGGAGTTGCAGGAGCTTGGTGAGCCGGTGGAAGCAAGAACTGGGAGGAAACAACCAAGGAACTCGAGACTCCCAGCCTGGCTGGCCTGGTGCCTGGGCCAAGCCCTCTTCACAGTGGCTCTCAGGCTCTAAGGGGAAATGGGCTTAGCATGCAGCAGGAAGGATTTAGACTAGACAAAGGGAAGGACTTCCTGGTGGCAAAGCTAGGAGATAGCAAGACAGGATGTCCCTGACCAGAGGGTCTTCAAAAGGAAGAGAGTGGAGGAGACGGAGTGTTGGGGGCAGGGGGTCTCACCCAGGCCAAGGTTGAACCCAAAGTCTGACCTTCGGTGGGGGGTGGGTGGGTGGTCCTCCAAGAGGACCTTCTCAGGTGTTTCCCACCCTTCCTGGCAGCCACTGGGGACTGGAGGGGCAGCTCAGGGGCTCTGAGGCTGGAGCTATGGGGATAGGCATGGCAGGACCCCTACCCCTAGCCGCCACCTTGCCCAAAGGCATGCAGGGACCAGGATGGAAGTTTCCTTGTAGAGCATTTGGGGTGGAGGGAATCAAGGCACAGATACAGGCACAAAGGTGCTCAGGCTTATACACAGTGTGTTCACACCCACACACACACATACACACTGATCACACTCACAATAGTCTCTCAGCCAACACCCCCAAACCCCTACCACACAATACCCCTGAGCCCCTACCTCACACCGACACCCCCGAGCTCCTACCTCACACTGACATCTCCAACCCTACCTCACACTGATCCCCAAGCTGTTACCTCACACTCACACCCCAAACCCTTACTTCACACCAACACCCCTGAGCCCCTACCTCACATGACACTCGTGAGCCTCTATCTCATACGGATGCCCCGAGCCCCTACCTCACGCTGCCATCCCAAACGCCTACCTCACACCGACCTCTAAGCCGCTACCTCACACCCACACCCCATACCCCTAGCTCGCACTGACACCCCCAAGCCTCTACCTCACACCAGCACCCCAAGCCCCCCCATATCTACTGTACCCCAACCACATCCCATCATCTACAGTGCTCCAACTACGCGCTGATATCTGCCAAACATCCTTCCTCTGGGGGGATGTTCAACAATGCCATCCGCAGTGAATAAGTCACCTGCATGCCCGTATACCTGCGGGCAGTCGGCCTCACCTTCCTCCAGCTCCCTCTTGCCCCAGCCCTCACCACTGCCAGGAGTCACCTTGGGTTTTTATCCGTTCACCTGTCTGCTGCCTGAGTCTGCAACTAGAACATCATCCCCATGGGCAGGGGCCAAGGGGGTTTTGTTCAGTACCCCGTGTGGGGGTACACAGTAGGTGCTCCCTAACAGTTGGTCCAATGTTGCACGCCCATGGGTACACGCTGGGGCAGGCACACACTCACCACCAGGGCTCTCACCCCCAGCACAGTGGCAGCAGATGGGAGTCCCCCAGGGGCAGAAGGGCCCCACATATCAGGGTATACTGGACACCCCCACACCCTGTGAGCCTGCTGGGGCTCGGTCACCAGCCAGCCCTAACCAGGACTCTGCACCACCCCCAGGGAGGCTTGCCTGCCAGCCATCCTCTGTGCTCCAGGTCCCTTTCCCTGGCCCCCATGTTTCTGGCTCACCCCGCATCAAAGCTTGGTGTGGGGCTTCTGATGTGAAGCCCATTCTGCAACAGAATCTTCTTTTTCTCCAAGGGCAAGAGAGGCCAGATTCTCAGGCAGAGCAGAGGCCCTTGCCCAAGTGCCACATGGAGAATCACCATGAAAGCATTTCACAACCTCGGGGCAGGAGCCCAGGGCTGGAGGAGAAATGACAAGAGGTCTTGTTCTGCAAGACTAGCTTCCTTGTAAAGTGTGGTGCCCTGGGACAGCCCCTGGCTGCAGGGGAAGGGCCCTGAGCAAGGACTTCTCCTTGCTGGGCTGTAGTTTCTCCATTTGTACAGCAAGGGGCCTGAGTGAGGCTAGGCATCTGGCAGGGACTGCTTGAGGCCTCCCCGCCCAATGCACATCTCTCCCTACCCCTGGCTCCAGCCACAACTTCCCTAGGGAGGACTTTTAAACATCTTTCTTGCAGAAGGTGCCTGGGCTGAGGGTGGCCATTTGAGGACCCCCTTCCTGAGCCTCCAGACACCCAACACAGGTGTACTGCCTCAGCTGCTAAACTATTGTGAATTCAAATGCGGCAGGGCACCAGGGTTCCAGACACTCATCCACAGAGCGTTTGTTGAGTGAATAACAGATGGAGCCAGTCCAGGGTTGGGCAGGACCCTCCTGGGGGGAGATGGCCTGGCCCCCCCTTCCCCACCCACCTTCTCTGGCTCCCACGGTGGGAGCCCAGCCTCTGTCTCCCCACCACTACCTGAGGGTGCAGAGGCCTGGGGCTTCCTGCTCTGCATCAGGACCTCGCCCCACAGTGACCCGAAGCAGCATTCTCAAAGGTGCCTGGCCAGGCTGGAGAAGGGGAAGTACCCACCTTTGAAGCCCCAAGTGACCCTGGGACAATCAAAGGTCTCTGGGTGCCTCCAAAGCAGCCTGCGGCCTTTTTAGGGGGTGGGGAGGAGGGGGTGGCTGAGGCCAGAGCCCGGGACACTGGCCTGAGTCACAGAGTGACTAACGCCCACGGCGGGAGGAGACGTCCTAGCTCTGGCCTCAGTTCCACTTGGCGATAGGCAAAACTGAGGTCAGACGCGGAAGCCTGCAGGGCCGGACTGTTCCGACTCCCTGGGCCTGGAACAAGTATGGGCCTCAGTTTCCCCATCTGCGTTGGCAAGAGCGCCGCCCTGTGCAGAGGTCGTGGAGACCGGGCTGCCAGCCGGGTCAAAAGGCGCACCTGGGGGAGCAGAGGGGACGGGCACTCACATGAGGTCGGGCCGGTGGCGGTGCAGGATGGCGCAGAAGGCCAGGCCGTCCCGGAACGAGGTGGTCATGTTGGTGATGTTCACGTCCCGATAGCCCTCGCACTGCTGCCGGCACCACTGCTGCAGCGCTTTGATGGCTGCCATGCGGGCGGCGGCGCGCCAGCCGGCTGAACCGGGCTGGGGGTGCACCGGGAAACTTCCCTCGCCGCTTCCCGGGACCGCGCGGGACGGGACACCTGGCTGGGCCCGCCCGGAGCGCGGACCCGGCCGGCCCACAGACGGATGAACCGACAGACGCGGCTGACCGCGACGGCGGAGCCGGGACAGAGCCGGCAAAAGGAATGGGAGCTGCGGCCGCCGGGCCAGACCCAGAGCACGGACGAGGCCCCGCCTCGCCGGCCCCGCCCCCGGCCGGCCCCGCCCCAGTATCGCCTCTGCTCTCCTGGGCCACGCCTACGACCAGGACCCAGCCTGCCCAGCGGTGTCGCCCCCGTAACCTAAGCCCCGCCCCCGCCCGGGAATAACCGGCCCACTAGGCCCCTCCCCGCCCAGGTCCCGCCTCTACCCTCCTTGGCTAAACTGCTGCCTGCCCACTGACCGCGGCCCCGAAGCTCAGGCCACGCCCACTATTAGGTCCCTCCTCTGCCCGCCTAGACCTCGACCCCCGCCGGGAATCTGCCCCGAGCGCGGACTCGGCCTGCCAGCCATGCCACGCCCCCAGCCGATCAGCCACGCCCCGTTTGGCACGCCTCTGCCTCTCCGACCACGCCCCCGCCCGGGCCTCCCGCGGTCCCAGTCCAGTACACAGAAAGGGGCGGAGACTTCTCGAGGTGGGGGCGGGGCCCGCGGTCCGTGCCGTGCTGGGGAGGGGCTCCATCCCTGGGAGTTCTGGCCAGGCTGCACTGCTCCCTGCTTTTCTTTCTTTTCAGTGCTGCATCCCCCACCTCACCCCCATCATGGAGAAGCAGAAGGAAAGTCCAGTTTACAGACGGGGAAACTTAGGCTCAAACAGACGTGACCTGCCTGGGTCACAGGGCTAGGAAATGGTGGAGGCGGGCTAGGCCAGCCTTGAGGCAGCTGGATTCTCTGGGGAGGCTGTTAAATCCGGCTCCTAGGGCGGCAAGGACCGCGCCTTGCATTTTTAGTCTTCAAAGGGCCTTCCGGCCCGGTCTGTTCGTGCCAGCGCCCACCCTGTGTGCGACAGCCGGGACGTCATTCCGGCTGGGGCCCGAGGTCCAAGCCGCGTCTCCACTGCTGGAGGCCTGTCCACACGGGCTGTGCCAGGGCAGCAGATTTCCCGGGGATCCGGATAATCTGTTCTGTGCTTCCCAATTTTCAGCTTTCAACATCTGTGCGGCCAGTGATTAGGAAAAGTGACTCTGGGACGGCTCTAAGTGATCCATGGGGGCGGTTCCCACCCCCATTCTTCCAGTGGGACTTGTCTGTGGCACGTGGACTGGACCAAGCCAGAAATACTGACACCTGAGAGGTAAGAGGCCCCCCCCCATCCCTAACCCCACCCCTACCACAGGGCTTGTCCGAACTGTGCACAACGGAATACGCCCCAGCTGGCAAGCAGCAGGAAGGTGTTTTCCCACAAATGGCCCTGGAGAGAGAGACAGGGCCGGCTTCTCTGCTGATTTGAAGGAGGAGGAGACTGAAGCTGGAACCTCAGCGTGAACGTCTTGGCCACCCCACAGCATGGGTGAGGCCTGCGTGTGGTGGTGAGCTCCCCGTTCCAGGGTGCATGCAAGCAGGTGCCAGACAGAGAACCCCATGACCCAGGATGGCTGCTGGCCATGGCTCAGGACCTGCCAATGGGTCCCCAGCAAGGGAGCAAAGGGTGGTTTCATGCCAGCTTATCCAGGGCTGGCCCGGGAACCAGGTTTTCTTGACCCCAGATCAGCCATTAGAACCAGAAAAGCCAGCGTAAGGAAGGGAAAGGCCAAGAGTGGTGAGGTCTCAGACTGGGGCCACAGGGGTGGAGGGGTGGGCAGGGGCTGGGGACCCTCCTCTGAAGGAACACAGTAGGAGGTGACCAAGTTCTGACTTTTAAGCATCAAGCTGCCCCTCTGGTGACAGTGACCTGGGAGCAAGCATATCCAGCAGCTCCCTGGGGCCACCAAAGATGTCCCCACCACACAGCCCTGTCCTTCCCTCAGCTCCCTTCTCTCCAACCAGTAACCAGGTGCTGTAGAGTCAACTCCAACTCCCGGCAACCCTGTGTGTGTCAGAGTAGAACTGTGCTCCATAGGGTTTTCAGTGGCTGATTTTTCAGTAGATCACCAGGCCTTTCTTCCGAGGTGTCTCTGGATGGAGTTGAACCTCCAAACTTTCAGTTAGCAACGAGCATGTTAACCATTTGCACCACCTAGGGATTCCCTCTCCTGTCTGGGGGCCCTGGCCAGGACCAGGACACCACCATGACCCCCTGCCCACCACTGCTGCCCCTCCATCCAGACCACCGTCGCCCTGCCCCTGACCACTGCACCAGCTTCCCCAGGCTCCCTGCTGCCCCTCCAGCCACCACAGTCCAAGGATCTCTTCTGGAAAGCAGACCAGACCAAACCCCATCTCTGCTCGGAACTTCCATGGCTGCCCTCTGAATAAAGTCCAGTCTCCTTATCACGCCTCCTGGGCCTCGTGGGCCAACTGGCCCCTGCATATCGCTCCTGCCAGCCCCAGCCTCTCTCTGCCGCACTCTGCCAGGCGCAGCCCCCAACCCCTGCCCTGCCCTCGTCACTCCCTCAGAGCCTCTGCTCAGGCCAATCCTTCCACCTGCCCCACCCTCTACCACTTCCCCTCACCCTCCAAGACACCACCAGAGGGCAACTGAAGCCATGCAGAGTTCCCACTCAGCTACTCCATCCACCCCAGGCTCCCATCCAGGCCCCACCCCTCACCCAGAGCGCTGCATCTGGGGGCCTCCCCACCCACCCTGACAGACTTGACGCCTCCTCCCCTTGTCCACTTCGCTGAGCATTTGCTGAATGGCAGGTGTTGCTCCAAGCAACGGCTGAGGGGTGGAGCCCGCCTGGGCATCAACCACACTTGTTTCCCTGTGAGACCTTCGTCCTCACCTGTCCTTTCCCCAGATGGGCACCTTGCGCTTACACTCACCAGCTTCCTGTTTCAATTGCTGCAGTCTGGGATCAAAACAGCTATGGGGACCCTGCTTTGGGGAGGAGTCTGGTGTCGGGGAGAAGACTCAGGTATATCCACCCAACTACCTTCCCCTCTCGGCCTTAGTTTCCTCACCTGCAAGGGTGTCATAGCCCCCCACCCCTTGACAGTCACCTTAGGGGCAGGTACACAGTAAACTAAAAAACCAAACTAGTTGCTGTGAAGTTGACTCTGACTTGTAGCAACCCCATGAGTGTCAGAGTAGAACTGTGCTCCATAGGGTTTCAACAGCTGATTTTTTGGAAGTAGGTCGCCAGGCCTTTCTTCTGAGGTGCCTCTGGGTGGACTCAAACCTCCAACCTTTCAGTTAGCAGCTGAGCACTCAGCTGTTTGCACCACCTAGGGACTCCTAGGCACACAGTAGGCACTCAATAAATCCAGCTTCATGCAATCACACTTGGGCCCAAAGGGCTGGGAAGCAGGTGAGCACTGTGCAAGTGGGGCAGGTCTAGGAGGGAGCTCCAGCCCCCTGGCCCTTGAGAATGTTTGCAGACCCCAACCCAAGACCCAGAGAGTGGTTTCTGGGGGGAAAAATTGTCATCATTTTTCTGGTTAACCAATCAGCACATACTTAATTGTAGAAAACAGCCACAAAAAGTGAAAAGAAGAAAATGAAAATCCCTGTTGTATGTTCGTGCTAGGCCTCAACACAGAACACATGATGAAAAAGTCAGCTGCTGGGACAGTGGGGCCTGTTTGTTACAGCAGCTGGTGTAGCTGACACACACAGACACCCCTAAACGTAAAACTGCACCTGTGACAGGTACCAGAAGAAAGTAATCAGGGGCCCCATCTTGGGGGCAATCTTGCAAGCCAGAGATGGCTTCCTGTAGAGGGGACACCAGGACTAAGATCTGAGGGTGAGAATTAAGTGGTCAGAGGCAAGAATGTCCTTCCCAAGCAGACGGACTGGCACACACCGAGGCCCTACAGCAGGGATAAAAGCACCCATAGTGCTTGAGGAATGAAGAAAGGCCAGTGGAGTGGGACTTGCACCCCAGAGAATTGGGGTGGGGGGCAGGGTGCAGTTGGAGGAAAGGTCAAGGAGGGAAGCAGGGCCCAGCCAGGCCCTCTCCCTCGCCTCTCCTGCAATTTCATACCCACTTTCTTATGTCTCACAACCACCCTTTAAACTGAGGTGACTACCCATTCTGCAGATAAAGAAGCTGAGGTTCAGAGACAAGAGGGGACTACCTGGTCAGCCAGGCAGGACTGGGTACTGAGGAGCCCATGCCCTGAGCTGGGGTGGGGTTGAGGGACCAAGGAGCAGGGTCAGCCAGGGTGGAGTCATGCCAAGTGGCCACCCTTATCTGGGGCAGGACTCCAGGCCACCTGGCCTCAGTTTGCCCACTCCCTGCTACAACAGCACGTCCCCACCCTTACAGTGTGGGTGGAGGGGGCCCTTTCTCAGGAAGCACAGATGGTGCTGGGGGCCCAGGGACAGATCACTAGTTGTAATCCCAAAGCCAACTTGGGGGACAGCTGAGCCCCTAGAGGCCATGCTGGCGGTCGGGTATCTAGGAGGGTGGTGGTGGTGGGGACCGGGCCAATCGGTTGAGCTGGTGTCACATGTCCAGACACACCTGTCTGGCCGTTCCTGGAGGCCTATGAGGCAAACCCAGGGCACAGGACAGTGGAGAGGGAGAGAAAGAATCAAGGGGTGCCTTGCCCGGTGCGGTGTTTCCCGGGGGACTTCTCAGAGCCTTAATCTCCCGATGTGCCAGCTTCACACTGTATGTGGCTGCCAAATTAGTCTGCCCACAGAACCCTCATTTCTGGAGTCTCCTCAAGGTGGCGTTCCACGGAACATACTTTGGGAACCCTGGTTCCCACAGAAGGACACAGTTTGGAGTCAGATGGGTGGGACCAAGTTTGAGTCCTTGCTGTAGCCTTGTTGAAGGAACTCCCTCCCTTGAGCCTCTCACATCTTGGTCGTAACACGGGGTTCCTCGTCTTGGGAATGT